TCCCTCTGATTCAACAGTTCATTAAAGGAACCTAGTACGGAAAGTCTGAAGGCTTTGTGCACACTAGGACTGGTAAAGCAGGATGCTACACTTGCAACAGCAGCCCTAAAAGAATTACTGAAGCATGAAAAAGGGGACGATAAGATTTATGAGAGGTGCCTTATTGCATCTGCTGTTTATGCATTGCAAGGTAGAAATGTGGGGGTCCAGAGAGAAATCTCCAAAGCAATACATAGGTATGTATTTTGTCTTTCGTTAGATTGCTTTGTGAATGTGTTGCTTTGTTTACATTGAATAGTAAGCAAACCTCTGTTCACTTGCAGCATTCTTCTAAAAAAAAGCCAACTTGTTTTTCAAACATGAAGTCCTCGCTTAAGGTTGTAGCATCAGTTGACAGAAGCTTGCATTCTGATTTATGGGATCAAATGGCAGAAGTTTCATGGCTTGTTTGGGGTTTTCTTGTTTTGTTTTGGTGTCTTCTTTGGTAGCTAGATCAGTTCACTGTGCTATAAAAGCATTTTTCATCATATGTAGCAGAACCTTCAACCTAGAAAAGTCTCTAGGGCTTTTTTTTAATATTTAACAGCCTCTGAAGCTGTTCATTCCATTAGCTAAATGTCTGTGTTTAAATGTATTTTGATTAGCCTTAGCAAAATAGAAAGGGGGAATTTTAATAAGTGCCTTTAAGCAAGCCACACTTCAGTCTCTCCAAGTGTTTTCAGAAACTATTCTTTATGCAAATTGTTTTTCTCCAAGTGCAGTTAAAATTCCTTGTTCTTCAGACTATGAGGACAACGTCTGTAGTCCTAGAGTTTATTTTCTTCCCATTAATATTGATATGCAAATTGTACATTTTATTTCTTTAGCCAGCAATATAACTTCAATATTGTGGTGTTTGTTTCAAATTACTGCCCATGTCTATTTTCAACCACACTGGGTTGTTTTATTAATAGAAAAAGATCCATTTGGGATTTATAGCAACAGTCTACCGAGTCACAGAAGACCAGATTCATATCTAAATCAGAAAGACTAATATCCTTTTTCTTTTGCCAGTAACCCTGATAATCCTGCCCTCTGGTCTCTTCTATCTCGACTAGTTCCACTGTATGCATCACAAAAGGCAAAAGTAAGTGCATTGCTGTAATACAGGTGTGCTGTTTACATCGTGAGTAGTCTGTGTTGTTTCTTAACAAAAAAAAACCCCACCCTTCAGTACGTAGACATTCACTCGTTAATATGAAAACTTAAGGCTTAACATACAGAAGCACATACAGAGCAATGCACAGGTACATACTGAAGTTACATATCCAATTATTTGCATCTTTCATGGGGCAGCAATTCTTTATCTTCTTGAAATAAACTTGCAGGAAAAATCTACTAGAATTATTCCAACAAGAAAGGGCTGTACTACGTATAATTTTTTTGTTTAGTTTTATACATACCTATGTGTGTATATAAATATATATTAGGATATACATATGTAGAATTTGGTTAATCTAGTCAATTTAACTTTTTGCATTAGCCAGTATTTCCTTGCCACTTTTATGCTTATTATTAGCTCTTCTCCAAATTTGTCTTAATTTGTGGCAGTTATGTGAACAGAAATACCCCTGAAAACAAACCCCTTTCTATATGGGGCTAAAATTAGAAACACAATGTATGCATAAGCTCTAATCCTGAATGTGTCTTCCTAATTCTTTATAAAAAGATTATGCTGTAGGCCAGGAAAAGATCTCATTGTGCAAACTTTGTATTTCTGATTAAAAAAGATAAAAAGATATTGGCATTACATTTTGTATAAAGTGTCTTCATGAATCAGTCATATAACCAAATCAATTTTTTTTCTTAATCTTGCAGGGGGGAGCTGTGGCAGGAAACATTGCACATGTACTTGATGTAAACCATGGAAAGGTTTGGCTTTATTAAAATGCAGATTTTATAATTCCATAAACAATCCTAAAATTAATTCCATCTGATCACTTACATTATAGTGTTAAGCCACTTTTATGTTCTGTTTTATAGGAAAACAATCCTCTGAAAAATATTCAGAAGGCAATCCACCTCTGTCCAGGTTACTCTTGTTCTCACACACAGTAGTGATTTTTTTTTTTTTTTATCCACTAGAAAAAAAATTACTGTGGCTAACAAAAAAATCTACTTTTCTTGGGTTGTTTTGTTGTTTTGGGTTGTCTGTGTATGTTTTGGCGAGAATGCTTAGAGTTGAAATTTTGACTGTCATTCCATGTTTAGATGTGGGGAATTAAACTAGATAAGAAGAAAAAAATCTCTGAGTTTTAAGGCTTGTTCTGAAAACATGGGCAATTTGTTAATCCCTTAGCAGGAGAAGAGTAAAAAGAAAACTATGTGTTTCCTTAGAGTCAGTAATGCTACACCAAATAGAAAAAAATGATTCATCTAGCTTGAGAATTTGCATTGGAAATGTTCTGTTAACAGTATGGTAGTTATGAACTATAGGCAACTGTTCACCTCTTACTAAATGGTGATCTTCATTAAATGTATGAAGCGCAAATCTAGTGGTGTTTTCAAGTGCTAATTTGCACTTGATAGTGAAATAACAAAACTTGTTTCTTCTGCAGTAATTTTGCTCTGATGCATTAGTGTGGCTGCAAGTTACAAATTTCAATTACTTTCCTACAGGTACGCATAAGACTACGACTGCTATTCAAAAGCAGTATACTTTACATTTTACTTTGGTAGATCTTCAAGTTTTGTTTCATTTTGCTGGCAAAATTCATTATCTTTGGGCTGAAAATTTACAGGGGTGAAATCTTCAGCTGAGCTCTGTCTAGTTCAGGGCAGAGACCACTCTTCTAGTCACAGTTGCTCTTCATGGGGCTAGTTCAGGGTAAAGCTGATACTGGAATTAGCTGACACTAGAAGTATGCAGGATCACTATAACTTTCATGCTAGTGGTCAGGCAAGACTGAATCTGTATGACTGAAAGCTGTGGATGGCATCTTGGGATTTTTGCTGCCACTGTTACGCAGCAGTAAGTGACAGTCAAGTTTAATCTGTGTAGTCAGAAGGAAACTGGCAGCTTCAGGTTAGCACACTGCTGGCTATGTGAAAAATATATTACTTGGCTTTAGAAACAGCATCTTTGTCTTATAATTTGAAAAATCTTACTAGTTAGAGGCAAATAGTTATCAGCTGCCCTGGGCTGAGCTGATGTAAGGGTCTGATTGAATTACTTGCCTTGTTCTTGCTATCTCTTACTTACAGTGTAGTGTGTAGTTCCCTTGATGGCTATGTTTTTATGCTTAGTCTGGTAAAGACCATTTCAGATGAACTACCAGCATATTTAAAATGGGCACGGGTTGCCTTTAACCATTCTTTTCTAGATAATCCTGCTACCTGGGCAGTGCTAATGGCAGCCTGTCATGCTGAAAACACCGTTGGCTGTCTAAACAACACTCAGCCGAAGAGAACAGATCTAGAGATGACACTTGTATCTACAGTTTCAGCCAAAAGTAAGCTATACAAGTTTTCTAGTTTAAAAAAAATAAAATAACACAGAAATGCTCTAAGCTTGCAATACTCTTCTGAATTTCAGAAACTTGCATATAAACTGAGAATTACTCAGTAGTGGTTTGAGATGTAACTGTATTTTATCACATAAAAATGCTAAATCCTAATGCACAGCTAGGGTTAATTACTTAATCGCAGCTTACTTTCCCCTCTAAAGTCTCAAATGCTTTTTTAAAATAGTACTTCTGAACTCTGATGCCTAAATGGATGGATGAACGTATTACAGCACAGGAACACTGCTTACAAGAGAAGGCTAAAGTACTCTTGGGTTCTGTAACTTTTCCAGTAGAGTGATAACTTCAGCCTCAGTCTTGCTCAACGTCCATAGTCATCTGAAAATGAAATAAAATTCCATCTTTGATTGATTGTTCTCAAACTATTAAGTCGAATGGTGTGTTCTTTTTTCCCCTCTTCTTGCTTTTAATTTTACTATATCTTAATGTTCCTACTAATGAAGGAATCCACGTCAGGTTAATACTCCTAAAAGTTCTCTCTTACCGGATATAGATCATGTGACATGGTATGGCACTATAGCTTGTACAGTAATCTGGTTAAGTGTTTTACCTGTCTTTGCAGCTGGAGAAAATAACCTTCCACATAATTATGTCCGGACTCTTGAAGACTGGTGTCTGTGTCAAGCTATTACTAGTCTAGAGGAGACTGGTAAACTCTCAGAAGCTGAAGCTCTTTGTACCAAGGTATGATGGCATCATACTGTCAGATTGTGGTAGAATTGTATAGAAATCATCATTTGTGTGCATTTTACAAAAATGTAATCTTTGAATTAGCAACTGTCTGTTCCATCAGAGCTACAAGATGCAATAGTTGTTAGCATGTTCCCCCTCCCCAAGATACTTACTCTGCCTGCAACACCAAAACTGTGTTCATAGTTGAAACAAGCAGCGTATGACATGACAAAGCTAAGTCTGCCCTTCCTGCCTTTATTCATTAACCTAGTATTAAGCAAAACATTAGAGAAATTCAAGGCAAGAAGCCCAGGTGGGAGACTTGCAGGGGACTTACATGTCTTCTGTTCTGTTGTGTTGGTACTCCATTTCAGAGCCAGAAGTGGATACTACAAGTTTAATTATTAAAAAGATAAGTCTTGAAGCAACACGGTTGGGAAAGGGAACTGGGGTGTTAACAAGCCTCAAGTGTGTGCATCTGTGTGTGTTTCATATGTTCATGAACAGAAGACTTGGCAAAAGATAAGCAAAAAAACAATTGGACTGAGCAGGACACATCCCTGACTAATCCCATGCAAATACGCTCCTTGCTTATGGCATTTCTGTATTAACGGGGAAGGGAGTTTAAAAAACAACAACAACAGCAACAACCAAAAAAACCAACAACAACAGCAACAACCCAAAAAAAAAAAAAAACCCCAAAAAAATGATTCCATGAACATGCTGGTTTTCTAGGGGAAAGTACTTTCTTGTCTCTGTTTGTTTGGTGAGGAGGTGTTTCCCTTTTCTGGCCAGCGTGTCTACTAAGCTGTCTTACATTAACAGGGATCAGAGATTTCTAGACATACAAGGTGGTATGTGGGCATGGGGGAAGATTATGGTGGGTTTTGTTTTGTTTTTGTTAAGTTAAATAGCTTAGGAAGAGGACAGTACCTGCAATTTGTGAAGAAACAAGAGTAATGCGCTCTGGTACCACAAACTCTCATTGACACTTGTGGATCCCAGGATTCTCAGAAAGCAATATAGCTGGGAACGATGAGTCAGGCAGTGCCGTTGTTCAATTTGAGACAGGCAACATGATTCCGCACTTGTTAATGGGGGGAAAATTGCAGCAAATACTAGCAGCTTCTGTTGTGTTTCAGAAAGTATCTGCATGCCCTTGCATTCTTTGCAAAGCAGCAGCTTGTTAAGGACTACAGACAACATAGTTTGTTTTTTAAAAAAATGGATGAAAAGTACAAGTGTTTCTTAGAACAGATGTGGTTTGAGTTGTAATTCTTGGAAGTATTGTGATTTGAACAGGTAAAATAACATGTAATGTGACTTGCAGAAGATTGACATGCTTCACCTAAGAAGGGTGAAGCGACAAATGGCTGGTTTTCTGTCTTTCCTTTTTCACATGAGTTTGTTCCGAAAAATACTCTGTAAGTATCTGCTGTTACTGAACAGGAAATGTTTAGTAAAGTGCTTCTGTTCCACTGAGAATACAGCACCTTAGCTGGGAGAACTGAAATTGCTTGGAACATACTCAAGGTCACTTCTAGCCACAGGACAGGTTTTTGCCTCCATTAGCCCAAAACTTGTAATGATTGTGAAGCCAAAGGAGAACTAGAGGTCTGCCATTTACCTATCTGTCTTTCAGAAACCTTTAAGAGTAGGACAGTTACAAAATTTAGGATAGAATTCAAATGTATTTTGAGGACAGAAAAAATGTTATCTCTTCTCATGTGTCAGTTCCTGGAACACTCCTTTGTGCAGAGTAGGAGGAACATGCCATGTTGCAAGCATCCTGAGAATGCTTTCAGTGCTATTTTCTGTCAAGACCAAAATGGAAAAATCAAAGTATCTTCTGATATTTGGAAATGATAATTCTGATATAATGTTGAGCCTTGTTTTGGTTTTAGGGTTTAAAAAGCTGCCCTGAGCACCCAGCTCTGTTTTTGCTTTTGAGACAAGTTCAGTGTAAGCAGCTGTTGCAGTCTCACAAAGAACTTCCAGACACCATCCTGGAGGAGCTTCGCAAGACAGTCATGACCAGTTCAACCTCAGTTGCAGCCTGGCAAGTAAGTGTGGATTCTCTCCCTGACTTTGGTGTGCCACTCTCAGCAGAGTATGCATTATAAGTGGGTGAGAGTTTGTTTCAGCGTTTGCTTTTATTTGTCCGCTGACAGCCAGTGACAGAAAAAACAGCTTATATTCAGTTCTTTATAAAGTTGTAACATTATGTTAACTTTCTTTAATAGTTGAAATAATAAGGACTGTTCACAAGAGCAAGCAGACATGGAGGAAGGAGAATTACGAACTTGACATAAATGCCTGGCACCTGTGTCTTTAGGGACCTGTGACTTGGCATGAGAGCAGAAAACAGTGAAATATTTCATAACCCATTAGAATAGATGGAAGTAAATGGTTTCCTAATGTAGTACTATACAATTCCTTATTCAGGGTCTGAAAGCCTGAATAAGTCTCTTTCTCCGTAATCTCCTGGCATCAGGTGTCACCGTTCTTTTGAGTAAGTTGAGTTGTAGGGAAGAGAAATCACTCCCAGTAACGGTGTTCACTCACTCCCTTCCATGGCATCATGAGAGATCATTTTTAGTTAATATGAAGGTGCTGTAATTTGCCTCATATGCTGCTTCTGTGAGACAATCTGAGAAGTCTGTCTCACACATGCCAAGAGATCTTTCTGGTGATGCAGCGTATTTAATTATTTATTTCCTAACCGTTGCTGTTAGTTACAGTTACTCTCTTCCTTTACCAATGTTAGGAGCACGTTGTTCAGAAAAATTCCGTGAACTTTTAGTCCTTTATGTAGCTGAAGGATTTATGGTGCTCCCTCTGTCTGTTGAACAAATAAAACTCTCTTTGTGGTAAGATTCACTGAAGCTGATTTCAGTCTTAGAAGATTAGTGCAAGGCTGCTGTAGAGATCATAATCTCACTTGTTATAAGGCTGAAGATCCTTTTCCCTTCTGGAACATATGAGTATCATTTGTGGAAAGGTGCTTTTTTTTTTTGACACATTTTTCTTTGCCTTGTGAGACTTCATCTTTCTGAACTGCAGAACTTATTCAGATTGGATTTGCAAAATACGGGGGCGCGCAAGATATGATTGTATTCTCTATTTTAGTAATATATTTTGAAAATGGAATTAGGGCTTGTATACATTCTTCAAGCATCCCTTGCTTTGCATTCTGGGAGTTACTGAAAAACACCTGAAAGACAACGCAGTCATTGGTCCCAGCCAGCACGGGTTTGCGAGGGGAAAGTCCTGCTTAACAAACTTATTTCTTTCTATGACAAGGTTACCCACCTAGTTGACCAAGGGAAGCCAGTCGATGTAATCTTTTTGGATTTCAGTAAAGCTTTCAATACTGTCTCTCACAGTATCCTCCTGGACAAAATGTCCAGCATACAGCTGGATAAACACATAATGCAGTGGGTGAGCAATTGGCTGATGGGTCGGGCTCAAAGGGGTATAGTAAATGGGGTTACATCGGGCTGGCGACCAGTGGCTAGTGGGGTTCTGCAGGGGTCCGTCTTGGGGCCAGTGCTCTTTAATGTCTTCATAAATGACTTGGATGCAGGACTTGAAGGATTACTATCTAAGTTTGCTGATGACACAAAATTGGGAGGAGCTGTTGACACTCTCGAGGGCAGAGAGGCCCTGCAGAGAGATCTGGACAAATTAGAGAGCTGGGCAATCCCCAACCGTATGAAGTTTAACAAGGGCAAGTGCCGGATTTTGCACCTGGGACATGGCAGCCCTGGATGTACACACAGACTGGGGAACGAGAGGCTGGGGGGCCACCCCGCGGAGGGGGGTCTGGGGGGGTTGGGCGCCGGCAAGGTGGA